ACTATATATATATATATATATATATATATATATATATATATATATATATATATAATATATAAATATATATATAATATATATATATATATATATATATATATATATATATATATATATATATATATATATATATATATATATATATATATATATATAAATATAAATATATATATATATATATATATATATATATATATATTATATATATATATATATATATATATATTATATATATATATATATATATATATATATATATATATATATATATATATATATTATATATATATATATATATATATATATATATATATATATATATATATATTAAATTGTAGGACTAACGGTTCTTGAGATATGGCCGGCGTCCTTTATTAATGGACCGCCCCGTACAATAAGACGCTTTTCTGAAATAGCCTCTTGAAATGAAATCGAGATTTTTTCTGGGGACCGTCTTTTTGAGAAAATAAAAATAAAGAAACGAGTCAAAGCGAAAAAACTTTTCTTAGGCGTCTTGGAGGCGCGAGTATCAGCAGAAGGATGATTCAGAACTCACTGCCCTACTTGCTTCCCACTCCGACCGAGAAAAAGCCCACCTACACCGCAACAGAATTACTGGCCGCAGCGCTTGGTGGTATATCCTTCCTCTGGTACATTCAGTTCTTGTGGAGACGCAGAAAACTCTACCAGCACTCTAGGAGTTTACCGGGACCTTTCGCTTTGCCTCTGATAGGATCTGCTCTATCGTTCGTGGGCAACCCATATGGTAAACCTTACACATTATACAGTATGCGACACACATTGCTTCGTTCCGGAGATACGGGGTGAAATAGAATTTTTGTGCTTTCTGGGCGTTCATCATTATCATGGATCTTGTCTAAAACATACATTTTTTCCAATATTTTTTTATTATCCAGGTAAAAAAAAAGGACGTCGTCATAAAAGGACGCTTATTTTATTATTTTTAGAAAAATGTTAAATTCACAATGTATAGATGAGATTAAAAGAAACAATTTATAATTATTTTCAAATAAATATATTATGGCATTAATAGATACTCCCTTTTATACTCAATCACCCAATGTAAGCTTCTTGTGGTCTATACCGTGTTTTCTCGTATTTATTATGTTTTTAATAACAATTTTATAAAATGGCACAGTCTATACTTGCCTCGAAGTTAGTTCAAATCGTTTATACAGGGTGAATCAAAATGGAAAATAACAATTATCCTGAAAAATCAAATAAAAGACCCTGTTGGGGTTGCTGACGAAGGACCACCCTGTTTCCAGGGACGAGATTGGCTACAATTCGAGTGGATTGCTTTTTTATTTTTAAGAAACACTTGGAAACGAAGAAAACTTAATAACAAAATTCTGTGACGGCTCGTTTTGCTCTTCCCGACTTCTCGCCTGCGCTCCGTCTCGCTTCTTTCTTCCGACCGTCTCTGTCGACGTCTCGCAAAGCTCTGTTTCTCTCTCGTCGTGCCGCCCCGGCATCGCGCTAGCTTCGCACTGTTAGCCTTGTTGCCGAATTTTTCACAAAGTCCAACAGACCCTGTATATTAAACTTCCATTATTATATTTCATAAAAGAAAGGCTCATTTTTATCCATTAACTCCAAGTAGGAAATTTTGGTTTTAACAATTTGAAAGTATTTATAAAATTTTCCTACCTAATCATTTTACAGTAAAAGAAAAAGAAAGGCATAATATGTTTTTTGGTATACCCAAATTATTATTATTATTATAAAAGTTTGTTGCTCATATATTTCATTCGGTAGAAGTAGGAAAGATATTTCAAAAATTAGTTTTTTCACGAATTTAATTATTGCTTTTTTGGATTTTGCAGATGCATGCAGATCAGAATTTTGAAACACATATTTACATATAGAAGACACAATTGTCTTTTGGGAAATTTTGAAAAACATTTAGTTATAATGGTTTTTATAACCGCTAAGAGTAGTTTACGAATTGTATGTTTTGCAAGTTGGTATTATCTGAATATGTAATGATATTTGTTGAATTATTAATTGCTTTTATAATATTTGTGTTTTAGATTTTATGTTTTGCAATGTGCTACGCAAGTATCAAATGATTAATAAAAAACTTTTTATTACGATTTTTTTAAATAATTATTTTTTGTCTAAAAAAAATGTTGAAAACACCATCAAATTTTACGTAAAAATATCTATAGCAATTTTTTTACATTTTTCTTTCTTACAGGGTGGTCCGAAAGAAGATGCCACCCCACAATTTTTTTTATTTCACCCCCTATATCGGGAGCGACATTTCGCTTGCGGCATTCAAAGTTTCACGAAAAACTGACGAAAATATACAACGGATCCTCACGACTCGTGGTACTGATTGTAGATATTTTCCATACCATCTCGAAGATGTTCAACACTTACCCGGGAATCTTTCGAGTCTGGTTCGGCACCAGATTATTTTACGCTGTTTCCGATCCGAAGTATTTTGAGATCCTGCTGACCAGTCCATACGCGCAAGTCAAGGAGAACCTGTACAGTATGGCGGAACCTGTGATTGGACAAGGACTTTTTATTGCACCAGGTATATATTTTTGTGTCTATATGAAATCTTAAAATAAATGCATTTAATATGAGGGCTAAGTGAGAACCAAATTTAAGCTAGGGAAAACTTTCGTTTGTTACAACCCTTAAAGTTTAACTAGCAAAATGTATGAGGAAATTTTTTACTTAAGTCAGAAGTTTTAATAAAAAGTTATGAATTTCTGACTTACGTAAGAAAAGAAACAGGTCAGAATTTATGAGAAAAAATTAAGAAATTGCGACTCAAGTTGAATTTGTGAAAAATGACTCACAATTCGTAAAAAAAGTCGGAATTTTTAAAAAGCAAGTAAAACTTTCTAAGAAAAAAGTAAGAATTTCTGACGTCAGCAGGAATTTCGAAGAAGCAAGTCAGAAATTATGAGAAAAAAGTCAGTCACTTGAGGAAGAATTTCTGAAATAAGTCGGCATTTCTTAGAAACAAATAATAATTTCTGAGAAATAAGTAAGAATTTCTGAGAAATAAGTAAGTATTTCTGAAAAATAGGTAACAATTTCTGAAATAACTCGGAATTTCTGAGGCACAAGTCAGAATTTTTGAGAAATATTTCAGAAAAACAAGTCACAAAAAGTACACACACAAGTAAAAATTTCTGAAAGAAGTCCAAATCCAACAAGTCAGAATTTTTGAAAAACAATAATTAAAATTGGTATTTTTAGGTTTTTTGACATTATAATTGAGACATTTTTGTTTTTGTGTTTTTATGTTTTTTAGATAAACATTTTTTAAAAATTTGTATTAAATTTAATATTTAACAATAACAATTTTGCTTTGGTAATTAAAAAATAAAAAAAAACGAACGTTGTAACATGTTGTTTTTCAGAGATAATATAATATAATAAATAATAATATTTAATTGGAGCTGTATTGTTATAAAACGCTTATAAAATTATGTAGAAATTGGATGACGTCATCTCTCAAGCTGAATACAATTTTCTTATGCCAAAAACAGCACGATTTCGAAAAATAATCCCGTTTCCGAGTGTAATTCCAAAAAGAAAAACTTCTTTGAATTAGTAAAATTTTATTCCAAAGACTCTCACGTTTGGTATGCGTACCAGGCTTGTTCTTCCAAGCGAATCGAATTTAAGGCTGCCCATGTAAACCATAAACCATGTCAACTCACTAATAAAGTCTTTATTATGCGCTGTTGTACCTTAAACTACCTGTATATCGTAACGTATACTAATTTATTCGCCAAAAACGTATTTAAGTTTTTTTTTGTCCTTTTGTAGCCTTGAAACTATTATACAAAGTGTCTCCGAAATGCGTGGCCAAATAAAGTAATAATACCTTATTTCTTTAAAATAAAACTATAACAGGAAACAATCGTATTTACATTTTAAATATACTAGCCAGTAGCAACATTTAAGTAAGTATAAGAGTACAAAAGTACAGAGAACAAAAGTATATAACAACAGAACAAATATAAAAGAAAAATCAGAATAAAATTTCACACAATACATAACTTTTAATTAATCTTTTAAAAGCATTTAAATTATCACACTCCTTAATATTTTTTGGCAGCGTATTAAACTTTAATAAACTTTTATTTAAAATGGTATTCAACGTAAGTATAGTTTTACATCGATTGACTAGGATGAAATCAGTACGGCTTCTAGCGTTATATTCTTAAAGTAATTAACCTTATTACCAATGTATGGCAGCATCATTTTATTTTTTATCTTAAGTATAAATATAAAGGCATCAAATATTACTTTTTGCTTGACAGTTAATATTTGTAACACATTTAACATAGTCATCATTGCTCTGTTTTGCATTTTTTGAAGTTCCGTTAGTCTATAGTTAGGTATACTATACATTGCATAGTAACAATTTTGTATAAATTGTTAAATTTTTGCCTGCTCTAGATATGAAACTCACCTTTTGTGAGAACTTTCACAATGTGCATCAAAATTTAATTGTGGATCTAATACAATTCCCAAATATGTTTCTCATACTGCAAATTAACGCCATTTATATTAATACTGACACTCTCCAGATCCAAACAACTCAATCTAGTAATAAAGTATTTGGAAAAATTTGTTATCTTGCCCATTGTTATTAATGTCTAATTATCCAGTATTAGTATTACAACATACTTTAGAATTAGATTTAGTCACTAACTCACTGGTTTTATTAACTGTTGACCTGTTTAAGTAGTAACTAACAAAAGAATAAAACATGTCTTTTGACAGAAATAATTTGGTGTTTATCTTGCCAAATAATATACATACAGTCTTCATTGCTTTAAGTGTTTTAAATGTGACTAACTTGAATTATCAATGAATAAATTAAATTTTTAAAGTTAATATTGGGCTAATTTGATAATTAAATATGGAGATTCGGTTTTCAGTAAGTGATTTTGATCCATCCATAATCTACAATTGACAAATATCGTTTGAAGTTCTTTCTATGATGATTTTGCTTTGGTTAATATAACATTGTAATCAGCATAGCCATGGAGCACTCCGCCTTCTTTATTCAATTCACCATTTATTTTTAATTGCTGTGTTCTATTTCTTAAATAGGATTTTCGGAAATCATGTGGTTTAATTTTTGGAGCAATATTGCGTCATTACTAAACTATGAAAGGTTTGCATTTATAAACTCAGTAACACTCTATTGCATGTTCGATACTCATGCCAGATCCAAGTAAGTTGTTCTTTTTTCTAACAAACTGCGGGGCCTCAATTTTCAACACTTTTCAAAAAGTTTATTTAGTGTGCTGGTTACAGCAATGGGTCGATAATTTTCTTTATTTTTCTTTCCTGACTTAAAGACTTCAGTTATTATTGCTCTCTTATTAATACATCTGGGGATATGAATAAAAATTAAGAAAAAACAAAAGACAAAGAGAAAAACCCTGCTATCCTACGTAAAATGATCTCCTGAATCCAAAAATGCAAAAAAATATAGGTTGTGCCGTTTAAAATTCGAAAGTTTCTGTCGTTTCCGCTCAAACCGGAAGTGCAACCATTGACTGCATATTGTTAAAAAATTGGACATTCAGCCCATATTAACTTTGCCAAATTTCAAATCGCCATCACAAGCCTTTTAAAAGTTATATGGTGTTCTCGCTTTCTTGTGTCAGCCTCTTTACTTTTGTTTTGTTATTCTTCTCCTATGGGCTTATTGCTCCTTATATTTATGGTAAGCCTCTTTCCAGGCAGGTTGATTATCGTCTGCCGGACATTATATAATAATAATAATAATATTGATAATAATAATAATAATAATAATAATAATAATGTCTTTATTTCCACAACATACATTTTGTCTCAGCAATATATGAACAATGTATTCTAGTAACAAACGGAACATATATATATATATATATATATATATATATATATATATATATATATATATATATATATATATATATATATATATATATATATATATATATATATATATTAATGCCGTTTTTTATATTAAAATCGTAATTTTTCGGACCAAAAATCATTAAACAACATTTTTTTGGGTTGAGAAATAAGGAATGCTTTAAAGAGGTGCTAATAACGGACGCCTGTGGTACCCCACAGTTCATTGGTATCTCTTCTGACACCGTTTTAGCAATCTTAGCACGATGTGTTGTTTTACTTAAAAAAAATTCAAAAAATTGTGTAGCCTGACCACTTAAACCAATATAGTGCAAAACTGCTAATAATGTTTGGCAATTTATTGTGTCGAACGCTTTTGAAAAATCTAACAGTACTAAAACTGTGACTTTACCCGTGTCTGTAGCCCTGAAGATATCAACGCTGACATTTGCCAGTGCCGAGGAACAAGAACCTGATTTGTCTCCACGTATTCTGACAATTGGTTATTTATAATTTTTTCTAAAATCTTTGAAAGACATGACAGGACACTAACTGGTCTTAAATCTTGAATTCTTGAGGATTATTAGTTTCTGATAATGGTATTACTAAAGCTTTTTTGCTTGCGTCTGGAAAGACGGATTTTGAAATACAAAAGTTAATTACGTGAGTCAAGAATGGTAACAATCGGAACAATCGGAAACCCCATTATGGATATATTTAAACATTGAACTGAGGTGGCTTTTACTTGATGAAAATCCATTTATCAAAATAAATAACAACTAAAAGTTCAGATTTTCACGAAATTATATATTTTGACATGACAATTGTTTCGACGACACCGTGTCTTTATAAAAAAAAGCGCAATTGGCATTCGACTTAATTTCATTTATTATATTTAAAACATCGATCTCCGAAACCAATTTAAATTTTAAAATCGACGTTACTGTGCTCTTAACATTGTTTGTATAGTGTTCAATTACATCTTGGTTCTCAGCTTGGGTTTGTTGGGTTGACGATATAAATAAGTTATTTATTTCGTCAGGGTTATTTAAAACTTCTGGAATATTTTTTTCTCTTTTGAATTCCCCAACAGTATTTTTTAGTTCTTTATAGACATTATTACTTATCGCAAATGAAAACCCAAAATCAAATTCAACACCAAACGTAACTAACCAAAACTATTGACAGTAAAATTTTGCAGTCGGTATCGTAATTCCGCGTCACTTTCAGTGTCCAAATGGAAGAAAAACCGCAAAATAATCATGCCGACTTTCAATCAGAAAATCCTGGATCAGTTCGTCGAAGTATTCGTCGAAGGGTCTGAGGTGTTGACGCAGGTGTTGCAGAAGCACGCAGGCAAAGGAGAGATCGACCTTTTCAACATCATGTCCAGATGCACTTTGGACATCATATGCGGTATTTGAAAGACATACAGGGTGTTTAAAAATTTAAATGTTGGTCCGGAGATGCATTGTTTTCAAGATACAGGGTGTTATTTTTGATAATAATAATAATAAAAATAATAATAATATAAAATAATAATAATAATAATATTCCTTTATTATAACAAAAAAAATACAATATTAACATTTAAAAATTTAATATTTTTCAACGAAAAGCTTTAAATAGCTACTCTACTGAATCGCTAAAGAACTATTTATATAATTAATAAATTGCGCACTATTTATTGAAATAAAAAATGGATGAACAACAAATAAAATATGAAAAATACCTGCAAAATCGGAAAAACAACATAACTCTACTACACACTACAGAAAATGCAATTGCAATGCAAATTTTTAATTTCTTTCGAATATCTGCTATCACAGTATATTTTCTGATATCGATTTGAAAAATACGATTTAATCAGCCCGTAGCGTATATTTTTGATAGTGCCGGTAATATAAAGGGTTCATTTGGTCATAACTGGTAAAAAAGTTTATAAAATCTAAAAACTTTAATTTAATTGCGATACTTCTTTAAGATGAAGCGACTAAAACCACTACTTTTTGGTCTCTTTAATTTTTGTCAAATCTCCCTCCGTTTACGAGTAAAAAATAAAAACTTTTGTTTTCTTATTTATTTTGATTTATTTTAAATTTCCAATAATATTTGCCTACAATTCGACTAAAAGTAACTTAATGCGTATCAAAAAATATGACACAAGTAAAATGATCTTTTTTTAATCACCCTGTATCTCAAAAGTTACGGCATTTAGGACGTATTGTGATGCGAAGTTTTCTTCTCAAAATGCACCCAAAAATCGCCCCCCCCCCAATTCCCTTAGAAAGCACCCTGTAGAGTGTTAACTTTGCAGAAACTGCAATGGGAGTTAAAGTTCAAGCTCAAACTACAGGTTGCGAATTCACACAGTGGTCCGATAGGTGAGTCACAACTAAATATTTCCCATTTCCGGGCTGATAGGGGGCTTTTGACATGAGAAATTTCAATTTCTTCTTGTTACTTATACTTGTAAAAGTAACAAGTCGCTGCTTTGGAAATATTTTGGTTTGAATTATTCGATGCATGTGGTTATGAAAAAGTGAAATAATTGTAATAAGGAAAACCCATCATTGTATTCTACAATATTCTACAAGAGTTAAAAAATATTAGCTAACGAGACTCCTTTTTAGCCTAGTTGATATTTTTTGCCCTGTTTCTCCAATGTACAGTGTGTCCGTAACATGGAATTATATTATTTCCCTTATATTAGACCCCTTTGTTTTTGTTGAAGAAATCTTTTAGAAGTAACTAATAACTTGTTAAAAAAATACGAAATACATTAAATATAGGAAAAAAGAAAATTGTTGAAGTGACTAAAGTAATAATCTATTAACAAATCAAAATCAAAATGTTTTCAAAGGTAAAGTGTAACTAAATTGGAAATCACAAACGCGTAATAATTTGTTATAAGACACAAATTATTATTAAAACATTTTGAGAGATAACACTCTACAATTGCAAGAGGTTATTTAAAACATTTCGATCGAATTTGAGAACAATGCAAAATTTCTTTACTTATTATATTCAATATAACTAAGGTCAATTTGAGAAGTTTGTTTAGCTGTAAATTTAGATTTATGTTTAGAATATTTTTAAATATTCTTAAAGTAGCTGATTATGCGAAAGGAAAATAGATCAAAATACTTTTTGAGCTAAAATAATAATTTCGTACTAGATAGTAATTAATATAATGAACTGCAACTAACTAATTGTTAAATATATAAAATTATGGCGTAATGGAGTTATTAAAGCATAACCAAAACTGAAAAACAAACTACTCCACTGGATTCTATGAATAAAAATCTCTATAGACGTATTTTTAATTTTTCGATATTTTTTTTTTCTTTTGTTTGCTTCTCGTATCTTCCTCCTCCTCCTCCTTGTTCTCCCAGATTTCTTTAAAAATGTTTTTCGACTTATTCCACATTCCTTCGATATTATTTTCTGTATTCCACATCTTCTAGTACATGCCCGTTATTTAATTTATTCCTGTCAATTTTATCATTCTTGTTTTGTGCCAATTCTTCTACCTAAGAAAAATCTTAGAATCCTTAGCAACAGAGTAGAATGCTCCGTTTCAGTTAAGCTCTGAAGAAGCTAGCAGTATGATTGGCGAAATCTCAGCTTCTGGAAGTTTAAAAAAAATATATATATATTTTGATATATGAATATATGATATATATTATTTGGCCCTACTTAAAATATTAATTAATGAGTTAAAATATTTCCTGGCTGAAAATTAAATAAGCAATTTTCGTTCCAGAGTAATGGAAATTATCATGATACGGATTTTCAATATAATTTACCACAGCGATTCGATCTTTTATAAATTACCGCTCGGCAGGGAACTGCAATCGGTGGCAGAAAGTATGAAATCTTTCACCAGGAAGGTTGTCACCGAGAGAATTCGAGCCTACAAGAGTAAATCTTACGAGGAACCGCAGGGTTCGTATTTCCATTGATTCGACGGTTTTCCGACATATATTTTTTGTAATTCTACACCTTTATGTCACAGAGCCAAGGAGGAAAGCTTTCTTGGATCTACTGCTGGACATTTCTTACAAGGACAACAATAGGTTCACCGACGAAGAAATATTGGATGAAACCCTAACGTTTATGGTAGCCGTGAGTATGCAAATATGCAGTTTTGTTATACGAAAAATTATAAACAAAAAAAAATCCTAATCTCAAAGATTTACTTGCTTGCAAATGACAATATATGTTACTTGTTAATATTGATCCAAAGTTAGAGCATTTTGACTAAACCCTCCGATTCTGCAATCAAAAATTGAAAATAAAAAATTTATCTGACAGTTATTTTGGACGTAAGCAAGCCAATAATTTGTTTAATATTAGTAGTATTAGTATTAGTATTACAACATATTTCCTACTACTTATAACAAAAAGAAATGGAAAAAATATACGAGGTGTACTTGGGATTTTAATAGATTGATAGTATTTTTTTAATCAGCAAAAATTATGACCAACCTTTTGTAAAGTTCTAGTACAATTAGAGTGAAGTTCTCCACATAAATACTGCTCTGTACAACTGCTATAAAATATGCAGGGTGCATTAAAAGTTAATCTAGGACCTTCATTGTAAACAAAACAATTCAATAACCGTATAATTTTCCGTTTTTTAGGGGTCTGACACAACTGCCACAACAAACTGCTTTTTGTTCGTTGTTTTGGGCTTGCATCAGGATGTACAGGTAACAGATGTTCCCTTTAAGAAGTAATTTCGTAAAATATTTTTTTCACCACTCTGTATAATACCGAATTAAACTCGTTGCATGGTACAGGGTGAAATTAATTTCTAAATTAAAATTTGCACAAGATTGCCCGTGTATGAGTAACCACTACCTTATCTCACGAGCTCGAAGAGATTGAACAAGTTAAGTATATTATATTTAAAATATCTCACGTATTTGCCCGATGTTCTTTCGAATTATCTTTGCGTATAACAAAAGGATGTCGTTTATTTATTTTGCAAAATTTGCAAAAATCTTACAGTGTTGCCATACTTTGCGCACTACCAGTTTCCCCCTTTTTTTTTAAATGAAAGCCCCCGTATATTACGCTATGTCTAGATAGACCACCCTATGGCGAATTCAACGATATTTAGTATGAGGGGTCTACAAATAAATAAATAGAAAATACAAATATTTTTGAAATAATTTTCGAGAATACCCTGTTGCCAAATATGCAATTTATAGAGATAATAGAATGGGATGGATCTTACAAAATGTAAAAATGTCTATAATGAATAATCGAATAATATTATCATAATGCCAATGGCTAGTTTGTTTTTGTACGCTGAATACCCGACGACTTTGGATATTTTTTTGCCAAAGTAGCACGTTATTTTTGAGCTTATTTTATTTGGAAAATACTCTTCGTACTGACAAAGACCAATAATTTAGAAACGGTTATTTGTTTATCCTTTCCGTTTGAAATAAAATTGTTGAAAATACAATAAATGAAAAGTCCGAGTGGCTTTTGTATTCAACATTTTTGTTCAATCTCTTCTAGATACTGATGGGACGCCCCTTTTATTTTTTTTACTCTTGTATAATTAAAACATTACAACGTCTAATTATTGACGTAAAAACAATATCTCGAAATGTCAAAATGACAGCAGGGCACCATTTTAAGTTTTTTTTTAAGTGACCTTTAAACATTTTATTCAGCAAGACAATCATTCCAATGCTACCTTTCCTAAAAGGTGGATTGGACCACTCGACCTTTTCTCTGAAACGCGGGGTTCTCAGTTCGAAATGTCTGCAGTCTAATTCCTCCAGAAACTTTGCATAATGTTAGGAACGAGTTTACTAATAGATTTTATTATTGTTAAAATGCACAAGAAGTAATAAAAAAATTGCAAGCATCTATTCGACTGACGAATAAAATGTTTTCAAAATTGGCATGCCCATAGGGCGTGAGTAAAAAAAAACTAAAATGGCGCCCTACATAAGAATTTTAAAATATTACCTCCACGGGTCCACACTACGATGCCAAAAGTTTTCCCCCAGCCGAAGCGTTATAGTATTAACGATCCGTTTGCAGCAAAAAGTTCTGGAAGAAATTCTGGAATTCGTTGGGCCGATTAGATCCGTGGACGTCCAAGACTTGCCAAAATTAAAGTACATGGAACGGGTCATCAAGGAAACGTTAAGGTTATTTCCCGTGGGCCCTTTCATAGTCAGATCTGTCGAAGAAGACGTCGATTTAGGTTCCTTTTATTCTGCTTTATTGTCTAGTTAATGAGTTTTAAATCGAGCATACTATTACTAAAACGTCTAGATCATTGTCCGAAAAAAGTGACCCGGTACATTGAAAATTTCATATAAATTATAAACAATTAAATATGGTAAAAAGTAGTGTTTAGTTTTTTGCTTATACTTCGTAAAATAATTTTTTTTTGGATATTGAAAAAAGATGCTTAAGTAGGAGGAAATTTACTAAAAAAAAGTTCAGATTCTCGAAACTGTACCTCCATTATTAATCATTTTAATTTAACATTGAAGAATGGAAAAATATTTGAATAACTGCCATAAATTTTTTTCTATATGCGGAAAATAAGATGGTGCGAAAAAAGGTTAAATAAATTTAATACTTTTAGAATCGTTTTTTGTTGTATGTTGTAAAATCATGTTTAACAAAATAAATAAGGACTAAAAGTTCAGATTTTCACGAAATTATATATTTTTACATGGCAACTGTTTCGACAACACCGTGTGTTTAACAAATGTCGAAACAATTATCATGTGAATATATATAATTTCGTGAAAATCTGAACTTTTAGTTTTTATTTATTTTATTAAATGGATTTCCATCAAGTAAAAGCCACCTAAGTTGAATTTTTAAAAACATGTCTTTCTTTCTTTTGTTATTAACTTACTGTTTTTATGTTAATAAAAAATAAAATAAAAAGAACTGTTATTTATGATGAAAAAAAAATTGTTTTTTTTTTAAATAATAATTTGTTATTGAATATAAACGTTTTTTTCATGTTAAAAATCGTGATTGGCAAAAAAAAAATTGTTCATTAACATTTTCATTGTTTATTATATTAACAATTTGTTATAAATAAATCGTTAACTTTTTTTCATTTTTTTAAGTCATTTACTAATTTTGTATATATTGTTTATCTGATATGTTCTGCATTTGTTTATAAAAATTTGGGTTTTTTCAAGCCTTCTCGCCTTCTAGCTGGATAAAAAATGTAAATTCGATTATTGCACTTTAAGGCAATTTCATTTCTCTATGAATTATATAATAGTTGCAATTATTTTTTTATTTTTGTTTTTTATTAGGTTTTTTTTCGCGTATATTTTCATATTATAATCGAAGTAATTTTCTTCGGAATTTTGATGCATATGAACGTTTCTGTAATTTTTGAACCTATCAGGTAAAAAAACTTAAGAAAAGTTAATTTGTTTATAAAAAATTGTTAATGTAATAAATAATGACTTGTTAATGAAATAAAATGTTTGTTAATTTGCAAGGACCGGTCTACTATTTCTCAACTGATTATTTAAACAATAAATACATGAAAAAAAGTTTATAAACAATTAAAAATTATTATTAAGAAAAAAAATATAAAAAAATAATAAATGACAGTTCTTCAGGCAGTTGTATTTTTTTTAAATATTGCAATAGTCCATTTGGTTATGAAAATTTATTAATAAATGTAGCGATTTTTTTAAGATTTAATAAATGTCTTGTCAACAAATGACAAATGAAAACATAAATTTTTACTACATTACGACGAATTTTCTTTTTTTGTTAACTTAAAAAAATAATCATAATTAAAGTATTAAATTTGTTTAAAGTTTTATCACACTATCTTATTAATCAATTATTTAAATATTTCTTTTATTTCCAATGACAAAGGAAGAAGTTTTTAGTTAGCAATGGTCTAGTTTACTGGACAATTAAATTTAACGAAAAAATATTATATTTGTTTATATTTGTATATCCTAGAAATTTTTTTTATTGTAACTTACTAACTTGCGACACAATCGGAACTATTTTTTAGTAAATTTGCCCTTTTTGAAAATCTAAAAAAATATATTAGTTTACGAATTATAACCCCAAAAACTAATGAGCTGTATCACATAAATTTAGTAATAGTGTGTTTAATCAATGTCAATTTAAGGTTAAGGCTTTCGCGGCCCGTTGATAAGCTATTATCTTCATTCGGGTTTAAAGGCCGTCGTCGATTGGAATTACTTCCTAACGTTTCGCTAGCACGAGTGGCGAGCTTCTTCAGAGGTCCTTCCATCTCCGATGTTGGACGTAGACTGACGATTTCTCCTGCGCAGGTTGTATTTATGCCGATTGGTGGAGGGCGGGGCTTGTTTCGCTTCGGTTGGTCTCGGGATATCGATCGGTACTGCTCGGGCGTTCCTAAGGATCGGGTTCCAGATTTGGTTGAGTCTAAGGGTCTCCTCCTTTCGGTTGAAATTGTGTGGGTGTTTCTGAATCTCAATGGCTTCCCTGACTAGTCTGTTGTGATAGCCGTTGACCGATGCTAGTAACTTACAGCTCTCAAAGTGTATCCTGTGTTCCCCGCTGCCCAGTGCGTGTTCAGCCACTGCAGACTTCTCTGTATGTACTAGCCTGCAGCTTGCTTTATGCTCCTTAAGTCTCGTTCCCATTGATCTCTTGGTAGTTCCGATGTAGACCTTTCCGCATGAACACGGAATGCGGTAGACTCCCGCAGCTGAAAGTGAGCCCCTCTTGTCCTTCGCTGACCTGATGGTCTGCTGGATCTTCTTTGTAGGCTTAAAGATTGTTTTGATGTCGTGTCTTTTCAATACTCTGCCAATCCTGTCGGTGACATTCGGAATATACGGCAGATATGCGTGGGAGGTGGAGGGTCGTTGTTCGGTATCCCGTGATCTTGATGATCTTGCTCCCTCGCACCTCCCACGCATATCTGCCGTATATTCCGAGTGTCACCGACAGGATTGGCAGAGTATTGAAAAGACACGACATCAAAACAATCTTTAAGCCTACAAAGAAGATCCAGCAGACCATCAGGTCAGCGAAGGACAAGAGGGGCTCACTTTCAGCTGCGGGAGTCTACCGCATTCCGTGTTCATGCGGAAAGGTCTACATCGGAACTACCAAGAGATCAATGGGAACGAGACTTAAGGAGCATAAAGCAAGCTGCAGGCTAGGACATACAGAGAAGTCTGCAGTGGCTGAACACGCACTGGGCAGCGGGGAACACAGGATACACTTTGAGAGCTGTAAGTTACTAGCATCGGTCAACGGCTATCACAACAGACTAGTCAGGGAAGCCATTGAGATTCAGAAACACCCACACAATTTCAACCGAAAGGAGGAGACCCTTAGACTCAACCAAATCTGGAACCCGATCCTTAGGAACGCCCGAGCAGTACCGATCGATATCCCGAGACCAACCGAAGCGGAACAAGCCCCGCCCTCCACCAATCGGCATAAATACAACCTGCGCAGCAGAAATCGTCAGTCTACGTCCAACATCGGAGATGGAAGGACCTCTGAAGAAGCTCGCCACTCGTGCTAGCGAAACGTTAGGAAGTAATTCCAATCGACGACGGCCTTTAAACCCGAATGAAGATAATAGCTAATGTCAATTTAAACTATTTAACTAGACTAACAACCATTAAATAAACTGGACCGTTTTCAGGCGATCACGTCATAGCGAAAGGTTGTTCAATTGTTTTCGGAATAAGGAGGGTCCATACCAACGAAGCGTATTGGCCCGAACCGTTCAAGTTCGATCCGGACAGGTTCCTACCAGAAGAAATCTCGAAAAGGCATTCGTGTTCGTATGTGCCGTTTTCCTACGGGCCTAGGAATTGTATAGGTGAATGTTTATTTTTAGGTTTTGATTGCTGAAATTTTGTGCATGCCCCTTGTATAAAGCATATAATATATAAATTGAAAATGCCATACATGAGAATTGTAGCTCTGGATCTCTAACGTTTGCTGGTCTATGAACTATTCCAATAAAGTAAATGGTTTTTCGGAAAATAATTCTTTTTTGAAACTATGGTCAATGACATCATCGCGTCTAGACTTATTGCGAGATATAGTGACCTGCACATGAACTTTTCTAAATATCTCGAGAAGCGTATGTAGACGAAAACTGTAAATACAATGAGGCTTATAGGAGGAGTGCTTAAACCAATTAGCCAAACTGACTAATAATTTACTCTCAAAAGCAACAATTTTCAGGGTCTTTTAGGTTTTTGTGTATAATTGAACAACCCCGTATATAATAAAAAATTTACTTAAATTGAGGTTATATTACCAAATGTTCCGCATCTATTGATTAAAGGATTTTGTAGATAGGGTTTTCGAGAAAATAATTTTGTTCCAAAATAACCCGCAAAAAAGTTAAAAAAAAATTGTTGGCAGGATTTGATTGCGAGTAATTTCTGTAGCCTGGCATATTCCGAATATCGATACATTATCGGCTACCTGTCGATATTTGCAAAGAATAATGGCGAATTCAGATTCTCTCTGCTCGAAAATCCCCCAATTCAAAATTTTTCCTTCCCCAAACACTTTTTAAAAATTTTCCTCGAAATCCAATTTGCTGCTGGAAAAGCTAGTAATTTTTTTAACATTTAATGTTATATATCGAACCGTACCAAGAAGTTGAGATTTTGAAGTTGAGAAGTTAAGACCAGTCGTTTGCTTTCAGTAATGGTTTACTCAAAATGATCGAAAATGATATAAAGAAAACAATTCGCTATGGACGACTTTAGGACGAATTCGGTTTTTTTTATCGAATTCGGTATATCTGCGAAACCTGTTCTTCGTCAAAGCCGATATAAGTCCCTTATGTGCTTTGTGTAGCTAAAGTTTGATAATGCGGTCCCGCAAATTCAAATTCGCACCTCTAATGTTATTTATCTGTTTACAAAAAATAAAAATCTAACCCTTAAAAGAAACATAACATCATTATGCATCATATGTAACACTTTTTACCTATTTATAACAATATGCCGCTTGGATCAACCTTAAAATCGGGTTTCAACAACAAACTGGTCCCGGGTTCGATCCTCGGTAGACACGAAACAAAAAAAGTGATGATGGATTGGGTGATTGCGAGAGTGGTGAAGAAGGGTTAAGGGAGGGGTGAGGATTGAGGGAGGGGATTGAGGGTTTATGGGAGTGGGTGGGTGAGGTTAGGTGGTGGAGGTGCTGAGATATGAATGATACCTTAAATTTTCATTTATGCAGGTATGAAATACGCCATGATGGCGATGAAAAGTCTATTGGCGACGGTACTGAGGAAATTCGAGATACACACGTCGTACGCCAAAATCGAAGATATAGAACTGAAGACAAATTTGGTGATAAGGCCCAAAGATGGCTTTAAAGTGTCGGTGAAATCCAGAACGTAAAGTTTACTACGCTAAATGTTTATATTTTTTGCTTTCGTATGAAAATAGAAATTAAAAAAACAAAGTTAGTAAGGTACTATTTATTCTTAGCACATTTCTACAATGAAAATAAAAATCTTCACTAGAGTAAGATTTAAAACAACTATTATTAATTACAACTATTAAATAATTATAGATACGGTGTTCTTTGCCTCAATATGTACATATCAATTAAAAATATCGGGAGTTTTGCAAAATCGCACAGGTCCCGAAATCTAGAAATACGACATCGCCATTTTTAACGCAAGATACGCGCTCATTATCTGGAATATCCGTTGGAACCAGTATAACCTAAAACAAAAATAAAACTGTCATTGCTAGTTATTATACTGCTTTTCAGTAATCCTTACAAATGTCATTTTACGCATTTATTTATTTATTTAAAAAACTGTCCAGCAGGTAAAAAAAAGAGAAAATCGCAGTTTTTCTTGAAAGCATTACAAGTTAAATTTAAAAAAAGGCAAAGTTTATGTGGCAAAGAAGAGCAATTAATTAATTAATTTTTAAAAAATGGCCTTTCATTTAAAAAAGAAAAAGCTTTGTGACATTTTTGACAGTCTATATTTTTTGTTTGCTGCAAAAAAGTGCTCTCAAGTCGGTGAAATTAGATTTATGTAGAGGTTCATCTTTAAAAAACTTCTTTATCAATCAGGAAAATGTTAACATTGGAAAATACACATTGGATGTGTCCCTAGAGAGCGTCACTGTTACAATAATGTTTTTACGTCAGACCAAAAGAAGAGGAAAAAGAAGAATAAGTGTAATCCACAAACTCAAATTTTTCGTCAATCAGGTATGCATTTTCATAGTTCAAATCTTTTAAAACGAAATTACTATTAGAAGTTATGAAGGTCCTTGGTCCTTTCCTAGTATTTTTTATTTTTGGTTCTATCGAAATTGTAAAAATTTATTTATGGCTAAAATTTGGTATAGTTTTAAATTATACTGTTGAACCGAGGTGGCTTTTCCTTGATGAAAATTTATTTAACAAAATAAATAAGAACTAAAAGTTTTCACGAAATTATATATACTCACATTATAATTGTTTCGACAACACCGTGTCTTTATCAAACGTAATATTTACAAACTACCTGCTACTATATATACGGAAAAGTGACAATAAAACCTTAATTAATGTTGTTGTGAGAATTTAAGTTTAATAATGGAGAGGTATTTAAATCTACTTGATAGTTAAGCAATACCAGCCAGCCATTTTGTGTGTATAAGGGTGATTTGAGCTGTTATGTATGACTGTGTCCGTGATTGAAGGTTTATGGTAAATGGAAAAATCTAATTTGTTTTGCGGTTTCGTAATAGTTAAGTCTAAAAAATTAATAGAGTTATCCTGTTTAATCTCGATAGTGAATTTTATACGATTATGTAATGAGTTAATGTAATTTAAAAATTCAATTGCCTGTCCGTTCCAACAAAGCAAGCAAAAACAACATCCACGTATTTATACCACCATAGAAAACTTGTACTTAAAGGAAGTTGTAGTATGATATTTTCCAAATTATCCATAAAAATCTGGGCTAACAAAGAACTAAGTGGGTTTCCCATAATCAAATCTTCCTTAGAGATGCAAATCAGTCAATTAAATTCAAAATAATTTTGGTCCAAAAATACTATTAAGCAATCTAATAAATCTTATTTCACGAATGGGTTAACCTGTTTTCGAAATGTACTAAAAATCTATCATATCTATATGTGGTATACTGAGAAATAAGTTTTGTACATCAAAAGACAATAGTGTTGCGTTAGAAGGGAATTTGATATCTTTAATTTTGTTGATTAATTCAACAGAATGTTTTTATTGCAAATTTTGGTTTAACATCTGTGTGGAACTTTGAAATATAATTTCGGCGGTTGTGGGTTCATAAATTAATATATCACTAAATAGTGTGGAGTTAGTAATTTTTTTAGTAATAGTAAAGTATCAAATGTGATAAAAACACGGTGTTGTCGAAACAATTTTCATGTCATAATATATAATTTGGTGAAAATCTGAACTTTTAGTTGTTATTTATTTTGATAAATGGATTTTCATCAAGTAAAAGCCACCTCAGTTCAAGCATTAAATTTAGTCGTGGCATTTTTTCGTCAAACTAGCAGGGTTGGGGCTCTTTGATAAAGAAAATCTTGTAAATATAGTGCGAAAATTACGTATTTCGGTAGCCAAAAGAAGACATATACTCCAAAAGAAAAATGTAAATTATTATTAATTTACTCAACGAAGGAAATTTATAAGTAAAAATACCAACAAATTGATGTTGTAAAGACTGCAATAATAGAAAAAATAAACGAGATAGAACCTCTGAAATTAACTAATTGTTAATCATAAATCAATTAGGCATTTTTTTTTTAGTTTAAAGAATGAAATGATAATGGAGTTTTAGTAAGCAGCTAAATTTTAGGCCAATATTGCGTAAGACCTGTTTTGTTCAGTAAATATACGTTTGAAAAGAGTACATTTCCCTCATTTTTTCCTACATTTAATGGTTTTTCTGTTTTTACCGTCATGAGTGGAGAAAGTGCTTCTAGCTTGCTAATTTAACCGGTTCTATATCTCTACTTTTATGTCACTGGTCTGTTTGGTGACATATACAGGGTCTGCCATGTTTTCAAGGCGTTAAATTGAAAGATACTTTTCTTATTGTTATATAAACAAATATTCATTCGATTATGTTGAAATCCGGCCCATTTAAAGGTTAAAATTATTACATCCAGTGGCGTCCGCGACATAAAGCACATTTACCTATTCAGTTTCACTCTGGCCGCGGCCAAACTGGCATCGTCGTCCTTCAAAACGAACCGCCTGATACCTCTGAGGAAATCCCCGATGTAGATGTCCCAATCGAAACCGTTGTCCGCACTCAGATCGGTTTCGAATTTTTTTCCATCTTCGGCGAGTCGTACTGCCTCCACGAGACTTCGCATCGTGTGCAGTTTGAATTCCCACTCGTGGGTCGAGAAAAAGCTTCCCGCCTCCAGCGCTTGGTAGAATTTCTTGCTCAGTCTGAACATCCTGCGACATCAAAGTTCGGAAGAGTCAAACGGTATTCGAATCAGTTTTTGTAGAAATGGAACTTTGAATCACTGATATAACCGCATCGAGATGGACATGGTTATTGCTATTTAGTTATTAATAAGGAACGGAGACAATGTAGACATCTTTATCGGTATAATACGACCAAAAATATAGTGCATTTATTGCTTTGACGTATTTTACCTGAGATGGACCGCACCGACTATTTGTAGAAACTTGATGCTGCAGGATATTTTTGAATAAGTAGAAGCGTTTATTTTAACATCAGGTGATATGTAAGAGTTTAATCTAAATTTCAATATGTTCATATATATTACGGAGGTATTTGAAGTACGTATTTATGTACCTGATTCTCGACCTTTGACAATTCGAGGCTGTTTTCACTGGATAGTTCAAAGGATAAGGGTGAGTACCAGTACTCAATTTATCTTAGAGGTAAGTTTGAAAATAATTATTTTTGTCTTGTGTGCCTGTCGATTAATAACATTCTTCTTGTATTTTTGTCTTCTGCATAGTTCGATTCGATTCTTTTTTAATACTATAAATTATATTCGCGGTAGATAAAGATACGTCTTAAGAATACAGATAAACATTTATTAGAATCTTACAATGAAACATTTTTTGAAGGTTCCTGTTTTTTAACAGTTTAAAATGTGAAGACTGTGGAATCAAACAGATGTTCCCCTGTTAGAAAAAGAAAACTACGCAGAATTTGAAGATGAAGTGGAGATAGTAGTCGACCTTGATAAAAAAATTGACCTATTTGTTTTCGGAATTGTTTTGAATGTTTACAATTATATAAGAAATTCATTTTATATATAAGAAATTGTTACTTTGTACTAATTGCTAGGCGAAAAGATTGTTAGTGAAGGTAAATAAATTCCTAGAATGGTACTGGAATGGTTACGGGTAAGGGTCTGCTCGGCAGAGTAATAAACAGTAGGCTAAGTTAATTACGGAGACGGTTGTAAAAGCACTATATTTCTGGTCTAAGTATACTTCACTGCTTTCTTATATGTGAACGGATTCCCAGGCTGTTCCAGTAAAGCGGGTCGGTTAAAAAAGCACTATATTTCTGGGCCAAGTATATTTTACTGCTTTCTTATATATTTTTGGTATAGTCAGTACGATTTCTGATGGCATAATCGGCATTAAAATAGATTGTTCATCTTACTTCGACAGATGTTGTTCCGCTTTAAATTAAGTTTTATTTGCCATCTAATAATTTAACTAGTATGGCCATATTCGAGACGGATTTCTATGCGATAACTGATCAGAGTGGTCCATAATAATATGCGAATATTAAAAAAAAAAATTCTGTCCATGTAATAAAAATTAAAACAATACTGTCACGTTTGCATGTTCTTTTAATAGCTTCATTAATTTATCCAATATCAGTTGTTCTAATATTAAAAGGGAAAACAATTTGCTACCACTACAATTTATTTTCACACTTTTTGAGCCCTATACGCAAGTGCATAACCAATACGTTTTAGTGATTTTTAATGATATTTTTGCAAGTATCTCGCCCACCCTGTATGATAGACGAAACCTGAAACTCCCCCGATACAGTTTACGATGCTGTTTGAACCAAAATAGTACACGAAAACGGCAATTGTCGGGGTCTTTTACATTTTTTTGGACACACCCTGTACATAATTGAAAAAATGACGGCAATAGGATCGTCCACGTTTCCTTGTCCAAGAAATTTTCGAGACGAAAACCGTAAATTCAAAAATTGAAGCTCTTGATACCGATTTACGAATTTTGATTTACGGAAATTTTTTTAATTGGATTCTTCAGAACCCTTCCTTTATCGGTTTACTTACATGGGCTTTTGGCCGGTGCAGTACAGATACGAGTCCAATATGGCGGACGGCACGAAATGAAACAGCCCTGCGCAGATCACGTGCATGGTCCGACTGGTGCGATAGGTGAAACCGGGATACCACGTGACGTATTTGCTCGGCCATACGATGGCGTGTTTTTGGGTGTGCCGTCCGAATTCCCGCCACAGGATCGGGTTCAGTTTGCCGCTGGTGCAGTTGTACACCCTCATGGTGGTCGATCTGTGGGCCACCGTGTGCCACGCTGCAGCGATCAAAGTATTGACTACCATGTCGACCGGTACTAACTCCATGCGACGTCTGTCATCACAAATGATCGTTTTTATCGTACCCCGGCCGCATTCCATCAATATACCCGTTATACCGCTCACATTGTCCACCCATCCGGGGTACGGTTCTTTCCACGCCGACGTAACTGAAAATTGACGTCCAATCAAATGACAGTTCGAAATCTCAACTTTCAAAAGTTGGCCTACGTCGAAGGTGGGGGAAACGTATTTCATTTGATATCATTTGGTCCAGGAAATATCAACGAAAACCCGAAATTGCAAAACGACAAAATTGACAGCTGTCAAAATGTGACATTAACACACACTTTTTTAACGTCGTGACGTATCTCAATCGCTTTTTGTTATCTCGCAAGCCGCCTAAACTTTCTGATGGCCACCATATTGGATTTTCCGCCCAAAAGTTTTCATCACACCTCCTAGAGTTAGGTCTTAATTATTTTAAATTTAAATTATTCAAATTAAATTAAAAAGCTAATAATTTAAATTAATTAAATCAAAGAAATTAATTAAAATAATTTAATTAATTTGATTTAATAATTATTTAATTGAATTTATTTTAATAAAATTATTTAAAAAGTGGGAAATGTTTTATTTAAAATTAACAATAATCATTAACACATAAAAATTTACAAATAGGACATGAACGTAGTAAACGACTTTCCAACAAAGCAGACGTTTTGGGAAAATTTTCAGCTGTTTTTAAAAAAGAAAATCGCCAGAGACACAATTTACAAATAACGTAAAGTAAAATATGATTACATTAGTAGTAGACACCGGAGGCAGAAATCAAAGGCCGAAATGTCAGGGGATATAGGTGGCCAAGATATTAGACCATTTCTGCCTTGAATAGTCATTTTCATTTTCAAATCAAATTACCTACGATTTTTCTAAATTCGGTGAGTTCTGAGTGACTGTAAACATTTTCACAAGGTTTCAACAAATTGATTGTCACATTTATTAAGCACTAATTTTGAAATACCAAATAAACGTTTGAGCAAAGATTTTAAAAAACAAAATTATTGGAGCTTATGTTTTTGATCAAATTCTTACTATATTTCTTCAAAATGGCGCAGTTTTTTTTTCAAATTCAAATCAGCTTGACATGACAGATTGTCAGATATGGTTTCAACAATTGCTTAAGAATTTAAATTAATTCCAGGACGGCGGATTGGTAGAAGGGGATCAATAGAATGGCTTGCAATTTGTCTAGATATTACTCCACTGTATTTTTGTATATAATTATAATTGAAAGTGTATATGGAAGAACTGCAAACCTTATATGATTTAAAATTAGGAATTAACCAAATTACCTTTTTAAAAAATAAATTTGTTTAAAATTTTAGTCTTCATTGTTTACACTGTTTTAAAATTAAAAAAAAACTGGTGTTGCTGGCGTAAATGTTAACAAATATTACAAGTGTTAAGTAAAAAATCAAGGTATTCTACCGTCAACTTAAAAAATATGTAAAACTTTAAAGAATCTTTTAGTACTCTTTTGCAATTGCACATTAATTTACTTAAGTGTTTATTTAGGTACATAAAGACAAAATAGAAGTGCTCGAAGTCAAATCAATTTTTCCACCTTAGTTTATCTAATATTTTATAATTCACTCAGACTGTGTACAAATTACATATTTCTAATTTTCTGAAGTTCTTAAAAAGTTTTGTTGATAATAACTGGTTTTGAGGTATCTATTAAGTGTTATTTTGGTCTATTTTGAAAAGTGACATTAGCATCTAAATACCTTTGCAAATTGAAAACCGCAAGTTGAATTGAATATTAAAAACAATTGAAAAAAGTGATTTTGTTCTTCAAAAAAGTTATTCCAAAAACATTTCTTTCCAGTTTTGTTCGTGGTCGGCCGATACGACTTCTTTTTTCAATAATTTTTGTTATTGATACTTGAAAAGTTTATTTTCCTTCGTTTTGTTGTCATTAGACTTATATTAATGTCAAAAATAATTGAAAAAAAGTCGTATCGGCCGACCAGGAACAAAACTGAAAAAAAAACTGTTTTTGAAATATTTTTTTTGAATAACGTAACGTAACGTAAAATCCCGAAAATGTCTGAAGTGGCTCGGATCCGTGAGAAATAAAACTGCCGTGGTAAAGTGACGCTTCCCGCACGCTAGATCGGTGGGTAATTAGGTATTTTACAGACGGGAGTAGAAGAAAATACTGAATTGAAACTAGCAAGCTTACTTATGGAAGGCCTGACGATCGCCAATGGAAGTTCTGACGAGTATTCCTGAACTATTTGCTCAGCTAAGGCTTTCGTGAACGTGTAGGTGTTGGGGTGCTTGCCCTGAAAACACGGATTTCATTAGTTTTCCCGTATTGATTCACAAATCGCAAAAATGTGATTACAATATAGTCAGGGATCCATTTTAACATTCCGATATAGGATTCGGCTCAAATTCTATTGGTCGATTTTGAACCTCCGAGAGGCATGTAATATTTGTAATAAGGTTACTTAGCAAAGGTACTCTTTAATATTTTTGCTTTCGATGTGAGCCTTTGTGCTTCTTTTGCCGATGATTTAAAAGTAAAGAGATTCGTTCACATTTAGATGTATTAGAGCGATCGTGACAGATTTGCTGATTATTTCAGGAACCACAGATTATTCCTAAATCTTGAAAAATGCCGATTTATTCTATTTACAATAAAAAAGGATTTTATAGATATTAACTTAATGCTAGATAATAGACTTCTGAAAAGATTTTAGCAAGTGAAAGGCTGGGGAAACTTTGAAGCTCATATTGAAACTATTGACAAAAAATGTTTGAGAAATCTGGGCTTCATTTTAAGAACTACCAAATGATTCAACAAGCATCAGTCGGTATTGATCGTGCATAATAGCATGATAAGATCTGTACTATAATAACATGAGCTCGGACTTATAATAAAAAGAGTATTTTTTGTATCTCGAGAATGATGGTCAGTACAGGTGTAACTTTTCCAGAAAAAGAGGCAAATATTATTCATATGACTTTCGTATTCGGTTAGATTATAAAAAACATTTGTTGCCGTTAAAGATTTTAAATATTTCTTGACTTTCTGTTGCTCTACACCACGAGTTTCATCATGAAGCATATGTTTGCGTGTTTGCCTGGAATGAAAATGTGATTTGATATAGCAATAGTTTTGGTTAGTTATTTTTTTTCCTAGTCGAGTAAGAATGAATATCAGATCTTGTTTGAAAGTTGTCTTTATTTTTATGTATATAAATTACTAATTTACTAATTTAACTAATTCCGAAAGAGTCAACTGAAAACTGGATTTCCAATTGCATCAGTTTTTGCATGTATGATTGAATTTTCATCAAAAATGTCCGAAGAAAATTAAAATAATAAAATAGAAAAAACAACTGTTAACGAGGTCAGAGTTCTCTCATATTTATTTGTTATATTTCCTTAGGAGTTGTAACTCAGGCCAGGAGATTAAGTTCTTGTTTACATGGAGACACGAATCATTATGGTATGGTTAAGTTGCCTAAGAATCTTAAGTCACCAAATTTGTACCATATATATGACATGATATATCCCGGTTGAGACTTACCACTAGCCGATTTGATATACTTTCGATCACATCTTCTGGCAAATTTTCGACGAGGTTCATGATAGTGTAGGCGTCGTACGTCGATTGGTAAACCATTTCCTCTATGGTTTCCTTGTCGCTGTTGCAAAATACTGTCGATATGTGCACACAACACTTAAAAAGAAACATGGCGGGTGCAAGGGCGGATATTGCAAACGTATCAAATGCATCTCGCTTTACCTTTAACCTGTTCATCTTCTTGCACAAATCCAAAACTCTCTTCGTCCCTAAGGTGTTCAGGATCACGGCATTTTTCAAGGCCTCGTTGAATCTAGAAACAAAGTTTAGCAGTTGCGGGTGAAAAGACCATTAGTTGGGGGTTATATTCCGAACAATCTTTTTATATTTTTTTGAATATATGTCGTAACATGTGGAAAAATGCCAGAATTCAATGCCGCTAATCGGAAAATTTTCTAAAAATGGCTTGGCTAGTTCACTTTGTGATAGAAGTCAGAAAATGCGTTATAAAAAAAACTAATAAGATACAAAAAAAGTTTTCATTGTTTTTAATTTCGACGCAGAATTTAAACATTCAAAAAAAAATAAGGAAGCTGTTTCATCATCTTCTGAAACTCCATCGCAGTTATTATATTTTATATACACATAACATATTTTATTTTTGACATTTTTAGGAGATATGTTCATATGAAGTTTTTTTTAAAATGGACCTAAAAACCGCCCCTTTAATTATTAGAAAACACCCTGTATAATTGCAGGATGGTTTATCACAGAATTCCATTCATGGGTACTTAATATTTCGTTCATTCATGATGGAAATAGTATTTTACTTACTTAACAGTAGCCGCCGAGTGATAAACGATGTCTATGTTGTCGATCAAGAACTGTTTGTCGGCATCCGAGAGACCTAAATTCGGCAGGGCGACATCTCCCGGTATAACCTTGACTTTTTCGAAGGCCTCCGGGTTTTTGTCCCTGATTCTGTCGAAGACCTGAACAGAAAACGACCAAAAATAAATTAAAAAAAAAAGTATATTTTCCGACTTATAGCTTGTTAAAATACATTTTCTAAAATGTAATTCTTAAAGCATGAAACTCATAATCATCTAGAATGCTAGGGTTCTTTCTCAATTATTTTAATTCTTTGCAAACGTCCATTAAATTTGCCATTAAGAAAGGTAAAAACGGCTGCCTATCATTCGTAGATATCTAAACGATTCTGATGCAACCGAACTTGGGATCATCCAAACATAGACTGCAAAAGAGTAATCGCAATATGCAGCGATGTAGCATGAAGCAGCTTTGAAGAGGATTTGCTTCATAATAGCTCTCCAAAGTATACAGTATAATCCCACGGAGTTATATCAAGAACAAATCAAAACTTTAATTACCTTTTCACGTCAAAGAAAAATACCAACTATTAACCTCCTGAATTATTGTTAATTAAATTACACAAACAGAATATGCCAATTAAGCCTGTACTTTCTGGAGAGTATCTATTATTCTAATTTTAAACACTACGGCGCTGGTAGGTCAACCATCTGCAACTCTAGGGACCCTTGACAAGTTATAGCCTACCTCTAAATTACAGTGGAGGACTTTACCCATCGGATTTTTAAATAATTCCTTCGCTGGACAGTAAAAAACTACATATCATTCAGATGGCAGTACTACATATCAACTTAACAAAATTTGTCTTAATTTCATTTTAAAGCTATTTAAAGAGACACCGAGATGATCAATGCTATTGTATTGATTTACAAAGGAGACCAGCCTATTTAAAGGCAGATTCATTACTTTTTCACGTCAAAAAAAATATCAGCTATTAATCTTCTGGAATGATATTGGATCATTAAGCCGGTAGTTTCTGGAGAGTATCTATAATTCTAATTTTAAACACTACGGCACTGGTAAGTCAACCATCTGCAAGTTACAGCTTTATGTGTGGAACCACTCACCTCTAAATTACAGTGGAGGACTTTACTCACCGGATTTTTAAATAGTTCCTTGATCCTTAGTTCGACGGTGATTCCCTTTTTCGGCCTCACCAGCAAAAATATGGCGTCGACTTTCTCGCACGACCGTAGCAGTTTTTCCACCAAAGCTTTCCCGACGAAACCTGCAACATTTCACCGTCACAGTTTCGCCCGAAACTCGTCCATCGACTTACCAGTGGCGCCCGTAATGAAAATTTTCGAATCCGCGTAAAACTCCGATATATTGTTGAGCGTCAGTTCGGCATTACGAAGAAAGTTATTGTTCGTGCAGTCGTCCATGTTTTTTAGCGTGCTGTTGTTGAATATTCTATGTTGAGGAACGCCCATTTTGTTGGACCACCTGGAACGAGAACGAAAAAAACTTGCGTGAAGGTGTCACGTTGACTTATCGCTCTGTCATGTCTACCGCAGAACAACTTAATAATAATAATAATAATAATACTTCTTTATTTCAATTTGCTTTACAAATGAAATTATGTCAAAAAGAGACAATGATTAATTAAGGATTCCGTTCTCATATACCTTAAGTCTAATTGCCCAACCTGCCCTTCAATTTTGTACATACTGTCCTTATATGTTCGTTTGTGTGAACACTTAAAACTTTGTACATTAATTTTATTAATTTCTAGATTGTCAGGAATCTCGGCTATTTGATTTTGTTTTGCTATAAATAAAATAGTCTTTGTTTTATTGGGTTTGACTATTAGTTTGTTTTGTACGAACCATGAATTTATTCTCTGAAATGCATTTTTCGTTTTATTTGTTACAGCCAATATATTTCCTGCAGGTGCTAAAATCTTTGTATCATCCGCATGACAATGACCATTGGTAGATCGTTTATATAAAAAATACTACTCTGTGGTCTCCCTGTACAATTTTGTAAGATTTTAGATTTTGTAATATTGTTACTTGGGACGATGACGTGCTGTTTTCTGTTTAAAAAGTATGATTGTATCCAATTAAGTGCTTTACCACGAATCCCATATTTCTCCATTTTGGCCAATGAAATTTAATGGTATAGACAATCCAATGCTTTACTGAGGTCTAAGAATAAACCTATGGCCAAGTTTTTTTCCTCAAACTGCTCCAATATGGTTTTTGTGAACTGAAAAATGGCGGAACTGGTTGATCTGTTTTCTTATACGTAGAAATCAGTAATTAAAAGACTAGCACAACTCAAAATGTTCCGTATTTGAACAAATTAATCATTAAAATTCGCTCCTAGCTGCTTAAATGTTAATACAAAAGTTTGAGAGAACTTTATTCCTAATAACATGACGTATAAATACTATTTACAAATATTCTAGCTTGCTGCTGTCTTATCCTCTTGGCTTCTTCAGAGCTATGTGAACCTGGCTCGCATTTAACTTTGTACCTGCTTATGTGAAATTGAAATTGTCTTGGGAGATGTGATAAAGAATCTGATTTATCAGCAAACGATCTTAACAGTTTTTTTAGTTCTGTCTCGAGTAATATTATAAAGATCTTAACGGTGAATCACAATGTACAGAGTGCATGTGTTGAAGGGATTCCACTGGAGGAAACTACTTTTTTTTGCATCCGATAATTTGCGAGGATACGTACCGAGCCATACTGAGATTAAAAAAAATCTTATTCTAGCGATGCTTATGATATCAATAGTGTCTTGGTGAAGGGGCTAGTTGAGTACATTACACTGCCATTAACCACTTTATTTAATAAATGTATTGACACAGGTGTATTTCCGTCGCTGTTTAAGATTTCGAGAGTAGTTCCAATCCATAAGGCAGGTGATATAAATGATGCTAACAACTACAGGCCGATTTCAATTGTGCCTTTGTTGGGAAAAGTTTTTGAGATCTTACTAAAAGATCAGCTAACTTCTTATATTAATAAGATCGAATGTCTTTGTGCTGGTCAGTTTGGATTTAGGGGAGGGTGTTTGACGATCAAGCAGTGTCTAAAGTTGTGAGTGGGATAGTTGTGGGCCTCGAGGGGGGTGAATTAGTTGGTTTGACCTTGAGTGATCTCTCCAGGGCCTTCGACTGTGTTTCTCACCAGCTTCTTATTAAAAAGCTATACAGATATGGTATACGAGGTCTGCCCTTAGATCTTATAGCGTCCTACTTGCAGGGCCGACAGCAGTTTGTAGAATACCAGGATGACCGTTCATCACTTGAATCAGTAGTAAGCGGGGTGCCCCAGGGTTCCGTCCTGGGCCCGCTACTATTTACAAGCTACATAAATGACCTTTATCATTTCTTGGCCCCCAATCAGTGCGTGATGTTTACAGACGATACATCCTTCACTACATCTGCTAAGAGTATCGAGGAGTTGTCCGTTAGGGTTGGCATGTTGGAGGACAGGGCTAATGTCCGGTTCGAAAATAATTATCTTAAATTAAATTTAGACAAGACCCAGAGTATTGTGTTTTCCTCCAATTGCTTGGTAAATAGTGGACAGTCCGTCAAGTTACTTGGCATTAGGATCGATGATAGTCTAAATTGGAAACAACATATCTCAGACCTGAAAAATAGATTGTCCAGCAACATATTCGTTCTTCGACGACTGAGAGGCCTGATAGTAACAAGGACTCTGCTTATGGTCTATTTTTCTTTGTTGCATTCACACTTATGCTATGGCACGGTACTGTGGGGTGATTCCTTAGCTGCTGTGGAGATTTTTAGAATGCAGAAAAGGGCCATTCGAGTCGTTGCTAATATAGGATATAGGGACCATTGTGAACCTTATTTTAAAAAATTCAAAGTGATGCCCCTTCCTTGCATCTATATCTACTACCAGTTATTAGAGATACAGAGAACGAATGGAAACTTTAGCGCTAATTCCGATTGCCATGCCTATTCAACTCGTTCGGGGGATCTCCTTAGACGGCCTAGGTTTAGACTGCGGAAGTCTGAGAACAACTCATTGAACCTGAAATTGTATAATGTTTTGCCAGGTACCGTGAAAAAGATGAGCAATAGAAAATTTAAACCTACTATTAAAGAATTCCTGCAACGTCATTGTTTTTACTCCCTGCGAGCATACATTGATACTGTCACTTGTTTGTATTAGATGTATGTTTTTATGTTATTTATTAATTTGATTTTATTGCACTTGAATATCACTTCTGACTTGCTACAATTGTACGTCCCTTTTGTACGCAACGTAGTCAATAAATGAATCTATCTATCTATCTATACAGGATCTTTATATAGACGTAGGTCCAAAAATGCAAAAATGAGAGGCGGTTTTTAACACAAAAGCTTTATTTTTATTTTTACCAGTGGCGTTCGTATGGGGTGTGGACTGAATATTTTTCAAGAAAAAAATGACAAGCCACTGCTTTTTCTGAAAACAAACATTATTTTTAAAATCCCCATTCAATTTGGAGCAAATTTGATTGCATGAACTTGCTTTCGTACGACGAACAGGATAACTATTAATTTTCTAGAATATTACGAAAACGCAAAACAAATTAGACTTTTCCATTTACCATAAACCTTCACACACAGACACAGTTATATTTAACTGCTCAATTACCCTTATACACACAAAATAGCTGCATTTCACTGTTTTATACACAGACTTTTTAATACGCCACTCCCAAAACAAAATTACAACAAAGAACTTAATATCATTAAAAAAATTGCACTGAACTACAATCCGTCCATTGTCGATAAAATTATAAATAAAAAACAAATCCAGATAACAGTAAACTCAATTTATCCGAAACCTAATACAGAACACGAACAATTTAAAACACTTACATACATGGGAGAACCCAGTGAAAAAGTTTCAAAACATTTGTAAAAATGTTGTTTAAAATAGTTTTCAGAACTAACAGCACAATAGGAAAATTTTTAAAAAACAATAAAACGAAGTGTCCCAAATCTCAAAAATCAGGTGTCTACAGGTTGAAATGCGGATCTTGTCCTAAAATTTATATTGGATAAACAGGTAGATCCTTCAAGAAACGCATTAACGCACATAAAAGAGCGTTTAAAACAATAGCCTAGATTCTAATTATGCTACACACTTAAACACAGAAAAACACATTTTTGACGAAAATTTTGATATTATACATACCCCCACAGCCACAAAAAGTAGAAAATTTAATTTATTGGAAGCCATGGAGATTAACAAAATGAGACATTCAAATGTATTGCTTAACGATCAATTAGATTTAAGTACCTCTACATTATTATACTTAAATTCTTACAACAACATTGATTAAGGTTTTATTGTCATTTTTCGGTATATATAGTAGCAGGGAGTTTGTAAATATTACAATTGATAAAGACACGGAGTTGTCGAAACAATTGTCATGTGAATTTCGTGAAAATCTGAACTTTTACTTTTTATTTATTTTGTTAAATGGATTTTCATCAAGTAAAAGCCACCTCTGTTCAATTATTAGTAAAAGTTAATGCAATTTCCTCATTTATGTAAAATCCCCCAAACTTCTGTGTAACTTCTTGACAGTCTTGACCCAGACGTGTACAAAAACCCAAGCTTATGGTTAACTTACGGGGTACACATAGCATCTTATTATTATACCATCATTAAAAGCAAACGTCCTTCGTCGTTTAGAGTGAGCTTTCGCGGTTTAAGTTTACTACACAAAGGTACACTTACTGTACCGAAAATTTGATTTGATTGACTCACGAAATTTGTCCAGTTTGCCTTCATCTCAGATGAAATAAAAGTAATTTTGGTTAACACCCACCATTTTATTTCGAATTGTATATTTGAATCCAACATTCTGCTACTAGCTGGCACTATACTTTGTCGTAAATAACTTAATCCCTTATTCAACTCCCAACACTCACTTTAAATAATCTTCTAGAGCACTGCCCACTTACTTAGCGTTTTCGAGTTTTTTAATCAACGTAATATTACGACAACACGATAATAAATATAATTATTGTTATAATTATCGACCTTCGTCTTAACATGTGACTTAATTATCATCAAACTGGAATAAGCTTTTTAACCAGCTTTGAATTGATTGGCTCTCTAACCAGTTCTGAAAATTGGAAAATGGAAAATCTTAATTATTACTCGAATCACCCTTGAAATAAAAAAAAACATGAAATTATTAAAAATGAAGTTATAACTATAATTTTAACAAAAAAAAACACATTTTCTTTTATGAAAAGATTTTATATATTTTATTTTTAATATCAAGAAATCTTATTTTAAAATTTGAAACATGTTGCAGGTGACTATTTAACAACTATACCAAAATATCATGTTAATAAAGTTCTTATTGCTTTTAGTAATTTTGAAAAAGCTAAAAAATGAAATTTCTTGTCTCTAATAACACATCTTGGAAATGAAAAATCTTAACTATTACTCTAATCTCCCTTGAAATAAAAAAAATCAAACTATTAAAAATGAAATTATAACTATAATAACTAACTAAAGCTAACAAAAAAAGAAAATTTTCTTTTATTAAAAGATTTTATATATTTTATTTTTAATACTAAAAAATCTTTTTTTTTTATTTTATTGTAATTTCTTTGAAACATGTTGTAACTGTACCAAAATATCACATTAATGATATTCTTATTGATTTTAAGAATTTAAAAAAAGATAAAAAATAAATTTGCTTGTCTTAACTTTATTAAGGAAGCTTCAGGATTACTCTAACCACACTTGAAATTAAAAAAAAAATGTTATTATTGGTATTTTAGATCGTGGTTTAAAGCTAGCTAGAATACAGGGAAAGAAATATACATAAATATTAAAAATCAAATAAATTTTAATTGAAAATCAATTTCCTAAGAATAACATTAATAAAATATTTAAAGAGCAATCCTGCATTTTTTATTTTGTTTTTATTATGTTAATATGTTTGCAGTATCATATTTGCATATTTTTTTAAAGAAAATAAACATATTCTTTCTAAATATTATGTCACAGTTGGCAAAAAATCGTACAACTTTTTTTTTACCCCATCAAAGAGTAAAATTTAAGTTCAAAAGAAATCGAAATCAAAATTTAAAAAAACATTAATTCAATTTCAAATAAAATAAAATTTTCACAGAATATAACGATTATTAAAAATTGGCAATAAAAGAAATAATATCTAATATAGAGAAAAGAGATGCCGTAAAAACATTTTAATAATCCAGTGTAAACTAAAAGTAGAATCCATTTTCAAATAATAATAGTATTGAAAATAAAGTAGCATTTAAAATAACCTCTTCTATAGATGATTTATTAATTTCTTTTTAAAGATGTTTGGAGTAATTCTAAGTTGCCGTAGATTTTTTGAACAATTAAAGACACTTGTTTAGGTTTAGTGTTAGGCTTCTACATCTTTAAATCATTATTGAGTTTATCTCCATCAGCGCCAAATAAAATTACCTGAGTTTTTCCATTACGTACCAATTTGTGTTCTTTGGAAAGCAGTGAAATAATTTGGAAGTCTTTATTTTTTCATTCATTGCTTCGTGTACTTTATTGGAAGAAAAAAAAAGAAATCATTATGTATAAAATATGTATCTTAAAACAGTAACGTTAAAGTAAAAAAAAATTTTTCATTTTTGACTTTTCCCTTGTATGAACAATTTAGAAAATATCATACAAGAGCAAATATTTCCTTTAGTGAATGATGTGTGTGCTTGTTTTAATAATAAATTACATATAAAATTTACCATAGAGATAGAACTAGATAAGCCCTTAAAATTTCTGGTCTTAACTATAACTAAATTACAGAACAAATTAGATTTTTTCATTTATCATAAACTCTCATATTCGGACACGGTAACTCAGATCACCCTGACCCACACAAAATAGCTCATTTTCATTCATTTACCCACAGAATACTTAATTAACTTTCCACACAAAGTTTTGAATGGGATTTAAACAAATAGATTTTAACAATGGCTACCAGCTCTCTTAACTAAAAAACAAGAAAAACTAAAACAACTAAAAGCAATAAAAAGTCTACAGGAGTGCACAATTTTATTGGAAGCTAAGGAATTTAAATTGTAATTTAAAAACCCTACATTAAGCGTGATTAAGAATTCTTTGCTACCCTTTCATATTTAGTTTAGATTGCAGTATACTGCATTTCATAAATATGCCCGACAGGAACGAAAAAATCGAGCTTAACTCGCGATTAAATATCGAAAAGCCTGAGCGGAAACAACGTAAGCCATAAAAAGCACGCCACCCAACGAAATGTTCCGAAAATCACAACGACTCACATTATTACGTGGCTGACTTCGTAGAGATGACCGACGTAAACGATCAAACTTTTCGTCGCGGCGATCGATCAAACCGCCACCGGTTTGTTTTACTTTCCGGATTATTATAAAGTCCGGTGGCACGCCATTTTAATGGGAAAAAAGTCGCGCTTGTCGTAAAAGTGCACTAAAAATTGTATTTATGGGAAAATTATCGGCGATTGTTCGTTATCACGCGATTCATAACGCGTGTATGCGCCCCGGCAGTTTTTATTTGAGAGTTTTTATCGATTACGTTGAGTCAGATTGTGTGGCTGTTAGATAATACAGGGTGTTATTGAAATGACCTCCCCTGATCTGCTGATGCAGAATAGATATTTTGTTCGATCCTTATAGAAAATATTAATTTTTTGTTGACCACTCAACAGAACGACTATATTTCATGTTCTCCTTTTGCTGTCAATTTTTTCCTGCAGAGTTCGTTGCAGGAGTCTATTTTTTCACCCCATACGACTCTAAAATTCCTCGTCTCCACGGGCTCCCAAAGATTCACATACCAGAATTATCCCTTCTATCTCTTGTCAGCATCATTGGTTCTCCCACATATTCTCTAGCTTCCTTATTAAAACCCTTTTCAGGGAAACTGATAGTTTTGTACTTAATTGCTGTCACTTTATTGAACATTTAAAAAGTATTACATTAGATACAGAAGATATTCTGGTTAGTTTGGACGTAGAATCCCTCTTTACCAAAGTTCCTTTTCTTGAAACCGTCACCATTATTTCAGATATATTAAAATCCGAGAATCTGGAACCAAACCTTCTCACCTGAAAATTGAAAAATGCTTGCCCGGTACATATTTTTCTTATAACGGTCAAATTGTTGAACAAACGTCGGGAACAACTATGGGTTCTCCACTATAACCAGTCATCGCGAATATATTTATGGAAGCCGTTGAGGAGAAAGCTCTCGACACCTTCCATCTTAATCCAAAAATATGATACTTTTGTTATTTGGCCTCATGGTCAAGAATCCCTAGTAGATTTTCTTGGACATTTAAATACCCTAACATACGTTTTACCATTGAATTAGAAACTAAAAAACTAATAAAAACCTCCTATTCTTAGATATTCTTATCAATAAAAAATCAGACCTAACATTGGATCATTGTGTTTACAGAAAGTGTACGCACACAAACCGATACCTTAATGAGTTGTCACATCACCATCCGGCCCAAAAATCATAGGTTATCAACTCTCTTGTTTACAAAGTCGTAAAACTATCTCAGCCCGAGCCACTGAATTATAACAATAATTTCCACATTACAGATATTAAGCGTTCCTTCACAAAATACACTCCACCACTACCTTCCAATAGCAATGAAACCGAAAGCAATCCCACAATTGCCACTGTTATCCATCCTTCCATTCAAAACATTACTGACCACATATCAAAATGTCTAAAGAAAGATAACGTCAAAACCAGATTTACCACTTGCCCAAAAATCTTCGGTCGGTCAAAGACAAAGTTCCGTTTGAGATGCCAAGAGTTTACAGAAGACTAAGACAGTTGGCGAACATAATCACGAAACCGGGCATCAAATTTAATTCTATAAAACTAAAATCCTTTCATGTAATTAATTCTTCTACCAACGAAAAATCCGAGAGTTCATAGAAATCTAAAAGTAACCTAACAATCCTAACCGCGACTCAGGTCTCTACCTGTGACCAATATGGCAATTAGCAAGTTCGAGTCAACAAAAACCAACGCATGAGGAATCCAGAAGTTTTATAAAAAATAATAATAACATTAATAATAAATAGTCTTCTTGTTGTACCCTCTGCTAGTATCGGGCCCTCCCTGCGCACAGTTTTTAGGTTCGAGGTTATGTCTGATATTGTGCTTCTTTACTGACCTTACATTGCTACTTAAACCTGCAACTAACTAACTAACTAACCAGAAGTAACCAAAACTAAGACAGGGTGGTTGTTATTACTTTCTAATTCAATGATAAAACGTATTTTAAGGTGTATAGAGTTTAAATGTCTAAGAAAATCTACTAGGGATTCCTGAACATGATGCCAAATAACAAAAGTATCATATCGACATAGCGTTTCCATAATTTTGGTTTTAGAAAGAAGGTGTCCAGAGCTTTCTTCTGAAAGGCTTCCATAAATATATTTGCGATAACTGGTGATAGTTGAAAACCCATAACTTTTTCCGACCTTTGTTCAAAAATTTGACCGTTATAAGAAGAGAAGGTTTGGTTCCAGATTCTCGGATTTTAATATATCTAAAATGATGGTGAGAGTTTAAAGAATAGAATTTCTTGTGTATCTAATGTAATGCTTTTAATTTGTTCAACGAAATCAACGGAATTACAAAAGTGTCAGTTTTCCCTGTAAAGGGTTATAATAAGGAAGCTAGATATATGGCTGACAAGAGAGGTCGAAGGGGTAATCCTGGTTTGTGAATCTGATAGAGAAGAAGTTGATTTGAAGTTCCGCTCCATAGATGACGTAGGATCCTTTTTAAGTTGACGATATGATACGTCTGTAAGAATATCTTGAATCTTTTCCTGATATTCATTTGTGTTCATGGCCACCGTAGCATTTCCTTTGTCTGCTTTTAGGATTACGAAAGCGGGATTAGATTTTAGATATTTTAAGGCAATGCG